ATCATTGCAGTTGTTAAATAAATCATGTGGTCATTAAATAAATCTGGCTTTCCCCATTGACCTTACTAGTTAGAAGCTGTCTTGAAAGTTGGCAAATGGCAATTACATGACCTTGGGATGCTGCAACCATCATAAATACATGCTCGTTGCCAAGTATCTAAATTTTGATCACATGACCGTGGGGATGCTGCAACAGTTGTGAGTCTGACAGCTGGTCATAAGTCACTTTTCTCAGTACTTCTGTAACTTCAGACAGTCATTAAATGAATGGTTGTAAGTCAAGAACAATTAGATAGATAGATAGATAGATAGATAGATAGATAGATAGATAGATAGATAGATAGATAGATAGATAGATAGATAGATAGATGGATGGATGGATGGATGGATGGATGGATGGATGGATGGATGGATGGATGGATGGATGGATGGATGGATGGATGGATAGGACAGGACAGGACAGGACAGGACAGGACAGGACAGGATAGAACATTAAAACATAATAAAATACTTTACTGTATCTGAGATCCATTATAATAATACACTTGCATAACTTTTTCTCTTACTTCTGTAGTTAATTCTAACATTAGCTCAGTTTTGATGTTACAAGAAAGTTCAAGCTACAGTTTATTCTAACTGAAACAAGCTTTAGCATGCCTTCCATTCTGTTTCTTATTCTTCTTGGTGTGGCAATAAGAAGATTTCACTTTCACTTTAATTCTTGATTAACTACAATTTAGCATTACAGCTAAACCTTAGACTGAGATTAATCTTAACAATAGTTTATTGTTAAGTCTCATAATCCATAATGTAGGTTGACTTGTTTCAATCAAATAATAAGTTGTGGTTCTCACCAATCACAATGGAAAATAGATTACGGCAGTGCCCAAATATCTAATTGGTTGTGTTCACACTAAGCCATACAAATAACATAAAGTCAAAAACTCAAGCAAGGCACTCTGAAACAATGGAAGGGACCAAAGAAAGACTTAGTTTCTACATTACAAAAGCTAAACAGTTGCCTAGTTAGACCTCCATTGGATTGGTTCTCTCTTTCTCTCTCACACTCTCTCCCTCACTCTCTCTCTCAGAGCCACAGTGATTAAATGCTGGGTGAGGGTTCTGGTATTTCCTTAGCCTTGAAAACCGTCTGGGTGACTTTGGCCGGTTATTCTCCCTCTACTGTAGACTGGGAAATTGAAAAACTTTCTGAATTGGACCAGTGTGGTGGATTATATATACTATATATGAATGCATGCGTGGACAAACACACACATGGCAGTTTGTGTAGTAGTTAAAGGCGCCTGGATAGAAACCAGGAGACTATGAGTTCTAGTCCCACCTTAGGCATGTAGCCACCTGGGAGACTTGGGGTCTCTCTCAGTCCTAGGAAGAAGGCAAGGGCAAACCACTTCTGAAATCTTGCCAGAGAAACTGCAGAGACTTGTCTAGGCAGTTACCAGATTGACTTGAAAGCAGCAAAATTATATATAGCCGTATCTCAACTGTAATTGTATAATACTTGAAGGAGTCCGGAAACCTACTTGAGAAGATTTCCAAGATTGAAGAGGACTCTGTTGTGTTGAGGATTCAGCTGGAGAGCTTTACTGTAGTATTCCTTTGCTTGTGCCATGTCTTTGGTCAACGTCCCAAGGTTGTTGAGGGCACTTGCATGACGTGGATACAACCTGTTGAGCAAAAAAAATAAAATAAAAATCAGATCATCTTACTGAATACCAAAAAAAAATCCAAACCATTTCATGTTCGTTGCTTCTTATTAGACCTTCCTATGGCAAGGTTTAATTCTTTCATTTCTACGTGAAGACTTGGGACTATCAGGGAACAGCAACAAGCCTTGATTTGAAGGCCTTCAGCAATCAGTGGGGCTGACCCATGGCCTGTGGATTAAAAATACACATCCATGGAATGTTGTGGCAGGGAGAATTCTGTACTGGGTAGCAGAACAGGCAAATGCTGAGCCCCCTTTGCTTGTACTGTACCCCCAAATCAAGGAGAGGAAGCATCTGGAACCCAAGGGGGAAAGGCTCCAGGAGGAAAAAATAAGGTTCTGCCCCCCACCCTGCCCCACTTCTCTGACTGCCGTTTCCCAGAGGGAAGTGATGAGCATTCTTCCTGTCCCATCTCACCTTTTTTACTTATGAATGTGAAGAGTACAGTCTTTGTTCCAGTAAACAATATCAGCGTTTAAACAGAGATTTTTAAAAAGTCTACTTGCATTTAATCTTGCGGGGTTATTTTTGTTTGGATTTTTAATAAAATACAGCCTTCCAGTTTGCAGTCTTTCTTACAAAGCCCATGTGTAGGCTCAAACACACCAGTATAAAATATATATATATATATATGTTGTTGGAAATGGCAACCATCTGCAAGCAATATCTCTTCTGCTATGCATCTCATTAACCACCAAGTCCTCCTCGCTTCACCTAATCAAGCACCAACTACTGCATTATTTATGAAAGAAAACTGAATTTCATTAAACTCTCACTAGGGCCGCCAGATTCTATTTTTTTAAAAAAAAAAATTAATGTTCCCATCTTTCCAAAATTCTAGGCATTTTTACAAAAAAATAGCCTTTCCTTCATAGTTATATAAAAAACCTAAAACAACTTGATTCCAATTGCCAAAAAAAGGGGTGGAGAGAGAAAGAGAGAGAGAGAGAGAGAGAGAGAGAGAGAGAGAGAGAGAGAGAGAGGGAGGGAGGGAGGGAGGACGGAAGTAATACTTTACATTAAGTTTGGCTTTGAGTTTTGTTTAAATAAGAAGCCGGATGTTTTCTGGAGATCAGATAAATTATTCAGAAGACTCCTTCAACAATGCCTCTTCAGTAGTCAGAACCCATTTAGATAGCTCGGCTTTGAAAACTTACTTGCCTCCCCTTCTATTCCCCAGAAATATTATTAGATTATCCTGATTCCTAGTGAGTCTATAACAAAGTCTTCAGGAAGTGGTAACACCTGTCTCATCTTGGAAGCTAAGCAGAGTCAGGCATGGTTAACTTCTTGGGTGGAAGATATCCAGTGAAAATCAGAACTATAATTAAAGAAAGCAGTGAAAAGCTACAGTAACACTGCTGTCAGCAAAACTGGTAGGAACCACCTTGCTTAGAAGAAGTCTTCGACTATTACATAATAAGATCAGAGTTTTTAAAAAAAAATTGCAAAAGATTAATGATAGCTTCAATACAAAAAACAGAAGGCAGAAATGGATTTCAAGAGAAATACAACCAATCTTTTCTTCTGAAACACTTACATTTTTATAAATATTCTTGACCTTTGAGCCTCACCGGTTGTCCCAGTTATTTGAGTGACACCAAGACTATTCAATATACAACTAAAAACACATGAGGGGAAAAAATGGAAGGGGGATTTTTTTTTACCTGAAGCTACATTCTGTCTTTCACTAAGAATGTCAGTTTACAAGGAAACTCCGTAAAATGAAATGGCTGCACAACTGGCAAAGTCAAGGCCTATGGGAACTAAAGTCCAGATTCTATGCTGAGACCAAAATCCAAAAGAGATATTTACAAGGTCATCAGTTTTAGAGGCTGTTTAGTCCAACAGGGTTTTGAAGGTGCTCTCTGAAGCTGGTAGAAATCATCAGTGCAGAAATTAAATCAAATTGAATGAAAGAATAAGCTGGGGTAGAAAGTTCTAACAGGTGCCAACAACTCAGGTAGGAAATTACAAATGGAAGAGGTCCAGAAGGAATTTACAGACATTGTTGTCTTCCTATTAAAGGGCACACAGGTGCCATCTGTCATCCCTCTCAATCTTCATGAAATAAACGTTCTTGTAGAGGGGGGCACAAAGAGACTGTTTCATTTTTGAGCCTCAGTATAGTCCAAATCTCTTCTCCCAGATACTAGCCTAGACAAGAGATTCAGAGAGAAACAAAGGAGAGATCATAGCATTAGCTCAGAGCTTGCCTGTTCCCAACAGATGGCTTGTGTGATTCTGTTCAAACTAGCAAAAAGGAGAGGTAACATCTCCACCTGTTTGTGTTTTGGGCTCTATTTTTTTTTAGCTAACAAACCTAGAATCAGACACTGCATTTTCTTTTGGTCTGTTATTTGTCTATGATAAGCAATATAGCATTTTTAAAAAAAAAAAAGTAAATAGCACGAGAATTCCAGGAGTTAGCTGTGGTGATCAGTGGCTGCTCTATGTTCCCAGAAACACAAAGTTCACACTTTGTCAAAATAGCTTATAGTTTATAGTGTCCACTCTGTGTGGAAAGTTGGAGTCCTATTGCACCAGGTTACATTATGCTGAATGATAATTCAGCCTATTAGCATTGTGATTCTACGAACATCTCCAGTGTTTCTCAACCTTGGCAGTTTGAAGATGGGTGGACATCAACTCCCAGAATTCGTCAGCCAGCTATATGCTGGCTGGGGAATTCTGGGTTGAAGTCCACACATCTTCAAGCTGCTAAAGTTGAGAAATTCTGATCTAGAATATTCATAGACAGTTTGGAAACCAACCCACAAGCTTACCCTCATCCTACACCCGAGCAACAGATAATCACCACTATTGCAAAGCTATGTTCTTTAATAACTCTAACTAACTAACTCTAACTAAACTCATCATTTTTCTTTCTGACCCATCACACATGGCCAGTCAGCAAGAATAAAGATTTTTCTCCTATTTATTCCACAATCACTACCTTATTGTTATCCTATTTCCTATCACAGGATTTCTTAATCTTGGCAGCTTGAAAATGTGTGGACTTCAACTCCCAAAATTCCTGGCTGGAGAATTCTGGGAACTGAAGTCCACACATCAAGTTGCCAAGTTTGAGAAACACTGTCCTATCAAATCATCCAAGTACAAACACTTCTGCAGAAATGGGATAAGATGAAGGCCCATTTCAATGTATCCATTTATAAAATATATGGTCAAACAGATCATTTAAAATGGTTGAACATTTGCAAGAGTGGGAAAGTGGGGGTCTTGTGCTGTCCTTCCAAGACAAGGAAGAAATCCAAGATAAGTATATTATGTCAGATTTGCCCAACTTATCAAGCCATAGTTTGCTTAACCATAGTTTATTAAATAAATCATAACTGAATGAGGCAAAACATTAGACCACTTGCATGCTGCAACGGCTGGGGTTTCACTGTTCATAAGCCCAAAGTAAATAAGTTATAATATGGTTGAACATGATGGACAAACCCCATCTACATATGTCAGGATTTATGTCTCATATTATGCGGTAAGTGAATACACTTCGCTTCCTGTGTGTTCTGTGAAACCAGTCACCTGTGGTTATAAACTATGAATGATAAAAACTACAATCTATAAGTATATGCACAGAAAGAAAGAAACAAGTAGAAAAAGAGTGGGAAATTTCTGTAATGATCTGTTCATCTCAAGTTTCCCTAGAGCCAAAGAAAAGCTCATTAAATGGTCTATGTCAAAAGCTCATGGAATTGCTTACCTCCTAGAACTTTTTGTTTATTGCTGTATCTATTTAAGAAAATGCAGCTCTTTTGCTCATTTCTGGACTGATTGTTGGCTACGAATGTTCCTGACACAGCATTCTAGTGACTGCAGCCAAACTCCAGGGAGATTTGGCTCTTTATACAGGAAGAGTGTAAATGGCTGATAACCTGAGCCAGAGTTATGACTAAATTCTATCATTTATCCCAGAATTGAAAATACACAGAACGTTGGTGTCTTTGCATCAATATACTGTAGGTATGTAAGAGAAATGAAATTCCACAATCTCTTGCAATTATTATTTTTTTGGCTAGAGATAGAAGAGATACATCATCTTCTGCTTCAATTACTTGGAACAAGGCTGTCTATTGGAGCAAGGAAAATATGTGGAACTTGCATATGCAAAACCATATCTTAACATTTGCACAAAGATACTCTTTCATACATTTTTAATAGGCACAACCAAACATCTTTACTCCGAACCTTCACCATGTTTAGCACAGTGATATTTTAAGGTTGCAATTCTAGACCTCATAATGATCTAGAATCATAGAATTCTATGATTCAATGATTCTAGATCATTATGAGGTTTAGAATTGCATCTTTAAAACATCACATTGTGCTCCAAGCAAAAGTAAAGTATTTTATTTATCTAATTTATATAGTTGCCCATTTCACAAGCAAGCGACTCTGGGCAGCATACAACAAAACTAAAACAGTATTTAACATCATTACCATTAACAAATATAAAAGCATTAAAAAGCTGTAAAAGAACAAAGGAAACAGCCCATAAACAATCCTGGGTTGCTTTATGTGCCATTCCAAGCCTGAACCATTAAAAACAAACCTCATTTAAACCAACAACAGTACATTAATTCTTTTGACAATGTTTACCATATCTGGGCTTCATCATGGTTATGGCTCACATGGACCATTTATTTAACTGTTTACAGTATTAGGTAACCCATTCCAATTGTAAATTTGAACATGTTAGGGTAGTTTGGATACTGCATGTTACATTACGTTTTCCCCTTTAAAACCAAATAACCTGGGTTTGCTGTTAAATACCTGACTGCCTTTAGCACGTTTAGTATTTTTTTTCTAAGCAAAAATTAGCAGGATTATAGTGTGCATTGAAAACAGATTCTCTGTACTGAAGTCCCAAAGACAACATTATTCTCCACAGCTACAATTAAACTCAGGAGGAAAGTTTCACTGGATCAGTG